AGAATGACGTCAGGAGGATGATCCGCCCCCTGCCTCTCTGACCCTGGAGGCTGCAGGCTCGACCTAGGCCACTAGGTGGCGGAAGCGCCGGCAGGAAAGGGCGTTTGATGCAAGGAGCAGCGCTGAGAAGCTGCAGTGACGCTGCGAAGGGCAGCAGACCCCCAGCACTGAGCCTGGCTAGCTAGTGATGCCCCTCTGGGGCTTTCCAGCTTACAAAAGAGGAGAGTGAGGGGGATTATACTATGAAATCATGTCAGATTTGGCAAACGTTATTTACTTGTTCCCGTAACATAAGAACTAGGCATCGCTACATGAAATTAATAAGTAGCAGTTTTAAAACAAATACAACAAAGTATTTCCTCACAGAGCGGCCAGTCAGCCTGTGGAACTCCTTGCCAGAGGATGTTGTGAAGATCAGGACTTTAACAGGGTACAAAAAAGAACTAGCTACACACATGGAGGCTAGGTCCATCAATCCTAATTAGCCAGGATAGGTAGGAATGGTGTCCCTAGCCTCTGTTTATCAGAGGAATAGCTCAGTGGTTTGAGTATTGGCCTGCTAAACCCAGCATGATAAGCTCGATCCTAGAGGGTGCCATTTAGGGATCTGGGGCAAATCTGTCAGGGATTGTGCTTGGTCCTGCTATGAGGACTGGAGTCGATGGCCTCTCAAGGTCCCTTTCAGTTCTATGAGATAGATACATTGGAAGTGGGTGATGGGAGAGATCACTTGATGATTATCTGTTCTGTTTCTTACTTCTGGGCACCTGGCATTGACCACTGTCAGAGGACAGGATACTGGGTTAGATAGACCTTTAGTCTGACCCAGTATGGCCATTCTTACGAAAAGGAATGGCTCCTAGGCCTGTGAGCCACTGCAGTGTTAATTCCCAATCACTGCTCCAGAGAGATCTTGGCATGACCATGGATAGTTCTCTGAAAATTTCAGCTCAATGTGCGGCAGTGGCCAAAAGGTAAAGGCATTGTTAGGAAAGGGACTGAAAATAAGGTAGAAAAAAAGCATAATGCCACTGTACAAATCAATTATATGCCTACTCTTTGAATACTGTGTCCCGTTCTGATCACCTCTCAGTTCAATAACAATCACCAGATAAGATACAGATAAGAGCATGGAATGGCTTCAGTACAGGGAGAGACTAAAAAGATTAGGGCTTAGAAAAGGGACAATCAAAGGGGGATGGTGGGATAAGAGAAAAGTCTATATAATTAGAAGCAGTGTGGGAAAAGTGGATAAGTGTTATTTACATTTTCCCATAATAGAAAACCCAGGGATCATCTACTGAAATTAACAGGATGCACATTGAATATTCAAGTACGGGTAATATTTTTCCACAAACAAACAACTGAGCTATGGAACTCATTGCCATGGGATGTTATGGTGGTCAAAAAAGAACTAGATTAAGTTACTGAAGCTATGTCGGTCAATGGCTGTTAGCCAAGATGATCAGTGCTGTAATGTAACCTCATGTCTAGGGCAACCTTAAAGCTCTGCCAAAGTCTGGAGGGGAGGATGGATGGGTCTCTCTAAAATTGCTCTGTTCTGTATACTTCCCCTGGGGGGGGGGGAGGTTAAATATCAGTTAATTGAATAGTCTAGTAACCTCATGAATTCTTATCGGTTAGTCAACTATTCTATAGTCCCTGGGGGGTGGGGCTGGCAGCCAGTGTACTCCGGTCTCACTCCTGAGGAGCCCTCTGCCACTCTGTATCAGAGGCAGTAGCGCAAGGTGCCGGGTGGGAGCTGGTCCATGAGAGGAGCCAGTTTAAAAATCAGTTCCCCACACAGACTGGCTGCCTGCCACCCTGTGTTGCTGCCTCTGACAAAAAGGCAGCAACACAGGGTGACATCAGCCCCTATCTAAGGTGGGGTCAGAGCTCCCAGACCTGGCGTGAGCCGGAACTGAGCCAGGCTGCCTGCTTGCCCAACTCCTAATACACTTTAAATGCAGAACAACAGCAGGGGTAGGTCCCAGACCCAACGCAAACCAGGACTGAGCCGGGCTGTTGGCCAGCCTGCTAAAAAATTTACTGGCAAGTGGGGCGGGGAGAGGAAATGCGTGTAATCTATAGCATTGACCTATAAGCTTTTGGGTATCGGTTAATCAGTTAATCACTACACTATTATAATCCCTATATTGGCCAATGTTGTAGACAAGATATGGGGCTAGAAAGTTGGACCATTGGTCTGACCCACTATGGTTGGTCTTATGTTCATAAAGTACAGAAAGTTATTGGCACAGCATGGAATCTGGCATTGTTTCTGCCTGCAATTTTCAGAATATTTTTGGAGAAGGATAATTGTTTACAGGTAAACCAAGAGACCATTTTGTACCCATTGCTATTTATCCAAGTTATAAGTGTGGAGTCAGATGAATGATTCACATCTGGATCTTTGGTTTTCAGTGGCAAAAAAAAGTCTCAGAGGTGTAGTCCTGTAGCACCTTTGAAAATAACAAATATATATATAGAGAGAGAGAGAGAAAGAGAGAAAGAGAGAGAGAAAGAGAGAGAGAGTATCATGAGCTTTCATGGAAAAAATGCACTCTTTCAGATGAAATGATCTTCTCATCTGAAGAAGTGGGTTTTGCTCATGAAGGCTTGTGATTTTATATATATGTATGTGCCACAGGACTACTAATTTTTAAAGTGGCAAAAAAATTATTTAGTACTGTTTTAAAGAGTGATTGAAGTGAAACCTGCTTGAGGGAATAAGATGTCCAGTGGGCAGCTCTACTTTCGATGACACTGCTTTAGACCATTTCCAAGGTTTTCAGTAAACTTTTGATCGGCCTCTATTAAGCACAATTAAACAATCAATTTTTGATGGTCCCTGAGGTGATCCATTAAGAAAGGATTTGTTTTTGTATAAAGGCACTCTAGGGCATGTTTTATTTAGGGTATTAATATTCTTGAGTGTAAGCAGAAAGCTGACTGTAGGAGCATATTAATGACAGATCATAACCTAGTTCATTATTTGTCAATATTCGATTACTAAGCAAAGCTTTTTATTCCTTCAACAGAATTAATTTTTCATAAGATAACACATTAATAGATTTTGTTAAATGGTATGTCTGCCAAGTACCACTGAGGACTATAAGGGTATGTCTAGACTGCGTTGCTATTTCAGGATACTGGAAGTACCCTAAAATAGCAGCACCACATCTTTAAATGCTCCTGCTATTTTCCAAAATAGTGGGTGTGCTATTCCAGCATCCCTGTAACCCTCAGACGAGGGTTAGGGGATTTGTCAGAATTCTGCCTTATTTTGAAATGTGCTGTGTACACCGTGCAAAATTTCAAAATAAGCTCTTTCAACCTAGACTTAGAATAAGCTACGCAATTTGCATAGTGCAAATTGAACAGCTTATTCTGACAGAAAGGTGCTGTCTAGATACACCCTAATGGAGAATGCTGTTAAGCATATAAAATATATTTACAATAGATATTAACAAAAATATTAACTAACGGAGTTCCATTTTCTATGACTATCTCCTTCCACAAGTGGCTTCATGAAAAATAGCAGCAACATACAATGCAGGAAAC